ACCTTTTCCATTTTACATATCAGATTTTTGGACAAGGCCATTAAAAGGCCCCAGTAAGATACCAAACATAAGATTTGGTCTAGTTCTATTGATAGAACTATATTTACTTTCCAAATCTATTTATATCTGAATACTTCGGTAGCGAGATGGCTCAACCGAACATAGGTTCCTTTGGACTATTGGCGTTGCTTAGTTTATCCTCCGTTCAGCCAACCAGATGTGCCAGTCTGATGAAGGCTAAGTCGGTAATTCTTGATAAGTGGCAAGTTATTGGTTAATGCAATAACTATGGACATCAAGAGTATTTTTCTTTTTTCTATTCTTTTTCCTTCTTCTAAAGATATGATTTTATGAGTCTCTTGGATTCGCCCCAACGAAACATACCAGTTTCTAATAGAGCGACAACGAAACACTAAATAAAATCCCTCCAGCGAAAACAGTACTGAGAGGATTATATATCGGCAATGTCTCAGCCTCACAATCCCTCAGAGTATTGCTGTTTTCACGAGGCATGTCTAACTTTACTAAAAGACTCATTTCGGTTACTTATTTTTAAACTTTAATGTACTTAGACCTACGTTAAGCGTTTATTTAATCTAAGGCGTTAATATCGCCTTAATAGACCGAAATTTACAGTCTCGCATAATGGGGTATCGGAGTTTGATGGTAGTAAAGCGGAGCAAGTGTTGGAGGATGTAACGCACAAGGCTCAAACCGTTGAAAATGAGGAGTAGGACACGATGATGTTGGCACAGGAGGCTAATACTACTCAGGAGATCATAGACGGTGTTGAACCATCCCAAGATACTCAGGTCAGTTCCCGTATTGTCGGGAACAAGGCGATGATTGTTTTAACGATCGTGTATAGTCTTTTGAAGAATCCATAAGCGATTGTAAAATGAATGATTCGGGTGATTGTGTGCGTCAAGAGATACCGCTTGGCACGGGTGATTTGGTCTACCGAGCAAGTCTTGAGCCTGAGGTTATGATTGATACATTGGACATAGTGCCATGAATGGGTGTTCGGCCTCCGCCTAGTTTCATTCCCATTAAATATGCTACAAGTCATCATTTCTCCATGGATAGCCCCTTATCGACCAGTTGTCAGGGTAAACATATATCTGAGCATGTAGCGGGGACGTATTATCTCGAATTGAAGATTTAAGGACGGGTTTGGCTAGTATCTCTTCATCGGTAGGTCAACCGGTGTCATCGCAAGCTGTGTTCAAGTGCTCTGGAAATACCATTGTGACCATAGTCATTTGCTAGCAGTTCGTCTGCGAGCGCTGATTCATTCTAAAGTGGGTGGAACATCGCTTGAGCGCTCCTGGCTACGATTATTGTAGGTAAACCTTTTGGTCGTAAACGGAAGCTTCAACAACCGGAACGGAACACCACAATTAGTGAAGAAGAAAAAAATCAATATTGATGTCTTGGTCTTGTCCAAAGATGAGTATGGTTTTCAATATGCGTTAGCAACTCAGGATGAGTTTTTCCTATGTGCATTTTCTACGTGTTTGCTTCATGAAAAAATATCGATGGCTAAGGCTTTACAGTCTTGTAAGGAGCAATTTCGTTCGCATGCCACGGTGGTTGAATACACAATTGACGGCCAGAGTATATTGATTAGCGACGAGTTTGTGGTTTATGCGGCGAGCACAGATAGCAAGATCCCCACGGCCTCGGTGGGTGAACATGCTGGCGATGGACGCATGTAAGTTTTCTTTAAGACACTTCAGCAAAGGTTTAAGCGATTGCTAGGAGCGCTTATTCACGGCGAATTGTAATGCCGCCCACTGTACGGTGATTGGTATGGCACCGTATACGATAGATACTGGTCGTATTTACCCTCATCCAGGCAACATTGTGGTGAATGGACTATTGGTATTGGTTGGCCAGTTACTCACCCCTCAGGAACATGAAGCAGCGTAACATATTGCGGGTGCATGGCAAGCACATAAACGTTCTGCGGATGTCATGTTGAGTTTACAGTAGGGAACCAAGTTTTGCAAACCTCTATGGCGGTTACGGCACAAAAGTTAGAGTTGGAGAAGGATTGAGTGGGTCTCGCAGTCGTGACAGCTTCGCTCCCGCGGGTCTGAATAAGGAACATTGTGTGAATGTTAAAAATCGCAAAGCTTGTGTTAAACCTACAAATCAGAAGGAAAAATTCCCTCGGGACAATGTTGCTACCTTTGTGTTTGGGTATCATATGTTTCATGATTCCCTTTATGCAGCATTTTCCGTCGAAGAAACGCCATTTATTGGTCAAAGCTTTCTGGGTCTACAAGTCGGCCATTCGTCTTCGATACAGTCTCAATGTGACTTATAAGTAATGGGCCCGTTTCGGAGAGTGTACCATTTTGTGAATGACCCGGATTTCCGCCGGGAGAAGTTGGCTAAGTGGCAGTCGAAGCACACGGGTGGATTACGCCGCTGTCGATTAATTGGGATGAGGATTCATTGGTGTCCGGATACTTATTGTAAAAGCAGTCGATTAGAGTCCGTAGTTAATCGTCCGACTTAAGATTCGCAAGACTTGGGCGGGCCGTAGAATGAATGGTACAGGACATCAATCCTATATATCTATGCATGAGAAGCCCAACCGTAAGTAATAAAGTTGTAGAAAATAAGTTGATTACTTGATTTGAAGCACTACTTCACTCTTTCAATTGACGTCGACAAATGGCGACTTCAAAATATTGTGAAACTGTTCACCTATCAAGATATGCACATTGCACCCTGAACATGCGTAAATTGAATTGTGTGAGGTTAATACAATAGTTGATATCCTTGGCCCGATTTGCTTATGTCGCAGTTTCTGTTTTAATATTCAGCTTGAGGCCATCCATGACGGAGCCATATACTTACAGGACTAGTGTATAGTACAGCGTACAATTGATAAGATTGATCAGTATACACTCAATAGCATTGATTAACAATAAGTCGTCGCTAGTCTCACAGTCCTCAACTTTCCAAGTACATACTAACAGCATGGACACCGTGTTAGCTACGACCATTCTATTGCTTGTAAAGAAGCTAATATATATATAAATATATATAATATTTATTGTGAACGCCACTATGAGCTAATTCCACGAACAGAATGCTGCGCCAAGGGCGACTATAGGGAATCCATGGTTCCTAAATGTAACGAACACACATACTGTGAAGAGAAGAAGTACGACGAACGAACGATCCAAACGTTCACTGTGGTCACGGGTACGAGATATTGGACCATGGAATGTGATGTGCAAAGGAAAACTATTGTCAGTCAAGGGCTGCCTGACTGTGATAAACACACTTGTTGCGAGAAAAGCAATACGATACGCCCACCAAGAAGTGGGAAGACTCATTTGTGAACTGTGAACATGGATCCGAGATTATCAACGAGAAGTGTTGCGAAGGGAATGACTATTGCCAACCAGGAGTGCCTAAATGCGACAAGCAGACGTGCTGCGAAGAGAAGTATTTAAATACCATCTTAACTGAAAAAATATGGGTGTGCACCATGGGCAAGGTCAACTGAACGCTCATCTGAAGTAATGTGCTGATAAACTGCAGACTAGGTGTTTAGATGCATTGAGTCCACTTGCTGTGAGCATGAACCGTCGGGCCCACACGATCCAACTACTGCAAGTATGGTGATGTATCATCTCATAAACGCCAACACGATCTCAAGCACAACACTGCATGCTGCCGGTACTCTAACAAATATGGCCAATACGATTCAATCAAGTGTGGTACCATCACATGCTTAAACTTATGGTGTTTATAGGTATAGGCGGTTAAACAGAAACAACTATCACCTCAATCACTACGGGCTGAATGGCAACTCAAGGCGTAAAGGCGGATGTATTTCTCAAACCCTGTTTTGTCGACGATATATCTGCCGTCAAAGCGCCACAACTATTTTCGATTATTTATGATATGCCTACAAACTATGCCCATACTCGCCAATTTATATAAGGTATATTGGACAGTAAATCTAAGAGCATGGCGTTAACTGTTGCTATAATATCGCAATAAAGTAGTTAAGAATAGTAAAAACAGCTTCGAACGGTTCGTGATTTCTTTCTTTTACACACTGTTTATAACGTGTTTTCGAAGCGGCCAAATCAGAACAGCCTTTCAATAGCCACATAAAATATATCTTCAGTGTAATTACACAGCAAGACATTTGTGATGCATTTAAATATGGTATTGTTGCCGAAAATACTCGCAAACGGTGTGCCTTTTCTTTTCTGCTGCTCTGAAAGCGTGTACTCGATGCGGCCGGATATAGCCCAAGAGTCGCTTGAAATAAATTTTTCATGCAATTGAAAAGCAGCACAGTTTGTGCTTGCATTGTTTGTATAGTATGCATGGCTTGAAATACATAGTTGCAGACAGAGTAGAAGGAGAGAATGAGTCAATATCTTCGAGCTCGTGGCTGCGTTAGATTGCGATATGCGAGCTCAAATCAATGAGATATATGATATTTCTGGATGCTATGTAAAATACTAGCGAAAAGTTGCCAATCAGCCCGTAGTGACATTTACAAGATGATAGTTTTCTTAATTCCTGTTTTATCAAATATGGTTACAAGCACGACACTGCACGCTGCCGATGCTCTAACAAATGTGGCCGTTACGTCTCAATCAAATGTGGTACCTATTTTGATTGTATACTTGGCAAGTAAATTGAATAGTGCTTTCGAACCTAATTATGTTGAAGATATATCTGCCGTCATAGTCATCACTACCAACGATATTGGCGACGCTATAAACATGAAATCAATATCATTTATAGAACACAAATTATGTGGTGTTTATAAGACAATCGATATGCAGCTACGCCCGACCCACGTTTTATGTCCCAGTTTCTGTTTTGAAATAAATTCTTGAAGCCATACCTGACAGAGTAACACAAGCGATAGGAGAGAGCAGACCACGTAAATACGACCAAAGTGTACACAATAGTGACTAGGATGATACGATCATCCGTGATATTGTTAAAAGTTCTACAGTTCCTTTTATTGTCTGCTAAGTTTGAGCAGAGATAATTGATCAGTCCACTTCCATCACATCAGTGCTAGTGGGCGCCATTATCTTTGCATTGCTCTCCGTTGGCGGGTCTATGGCCACAGTAGGTGTTGTGGTTATGGGCCCCTTCTCACTGTCTGAAGGCTCAGCACCCTTCTCATTGGCTGATACATCATCCTTACCTACCGGTGCTTTCGGGGTGGTGCCTCCAGGAGTAGTCGCCTTGGGCTGCGTAGGTTACGAAGTGGTATGTATATGTGAATTCTTAAGTACAATGGAATTAAGCTTAGTGGTATTCTTTCATGCAAAGTTGTTACCTGGGAATCCGGATACTGGCAATAGGTTATGAAGATATGTTATTGATGGTAAAATTTTTACACCCACAGGGTAGAGTAGCACTTTATATACCAATGTTTATCACAGCCAATGTCTTGTCCTGGTGGCATGCAGAAACATTTGCTCTGATACACGGCAGTTCTGAAATTACTTAAAAATTCAAACTGCACATGTACATTCACCAGTCTCACATGCATGTGCGCACTCTGACATATACTCTGCATACAAGTCCTTTTTCGAAATACATACCAACTGTGCTCAATCAGATCGATTCCCCTTCTTGTCTTCCGAAGCAATCGATTTGTCAAATACCCAATGCATTGTAAGTAGGAAGCACAAACGTACATATGTGCGCACCGAAACACCAATATGAGAGTAGATCTAGTGCATAATTCACACTAAACCGATCCAGACTTGTATACAACACGATGTCATAAGACTATACAATACGATGCCATAGGACACTTCTAAACCATGTCTTTGTGATCGTACGAGTGTTTGACCCATACCTTTCTCTTGCGAGTAGTTTGCTTAGAAGCAGCTCTCTGTTCCCGGTTTAGTTTGCGGAGTGTGGCGGCGGCCTCTCGTCGAGCAATCTGAGAAAATAAAAAATCATTCGAAAAAACGATTAAAAAAAGACGAGTATGCCGTAATTCCACATCCGACTAAGTAGAGTTTCAACGAATGTTGACGTACAACACGCCCTTCCACACACATGTAATAGGACCGAATAACACTGTGATTTTATTTGTCTTAGTACGCCAATGTGTGATCTTATCGGCTGCTCAAAACTGCAAAGTTTATTCCTATCGGTACTTGAGGCTCTTTGTATGGTAGCCATCGTCAATTGCATAGCACTCTGTGTGTACTGTATTTCTGTTCAAAATCCGTGCGTGTGCACTCTCTCTGTCTCTATATATAAATATATATATATATATATACAGATATACACATCCACGCAATACTACCCACCTGATCATCCAAGCGCTTCTGCTTCTTACGTTGGCGTTCGCGTTCCTTCGCCTGTTTCTCTGCAACTTTTTTGGCCTCGTTTTTGCGGCGCCACTTCTCCTCTAAGGCTTTGTCTTCAATCAATAGACCCATCACCTCGTTGCTCATGGGCTCGGCAGTATTAATGACCTTATTTTCCGCGGCTTTGCCCCCTGAAATGACCATGTTCTGGATAGAGGACTTCTGTTTGGCGCGTGCCAGGATACGCTCCTCGATGGTGCCTTTGGTGACCAACCGGTAGACCGTTACCTGTCGCGTCTGCCCCACTCTATGGGCTCGGTCCATAGCCTACAAACGGACGTATTTGGTTAGGTGTTGAATGAATGTAATTTTTAGAATAAAAACAATATAGTTCACGAGCGTATACGATTTTGATGAGCGGGTGTGTTGTAATTATAGCATGAGAAAGCAACGGGGATAAGTTCATCTGATAGATAAATTGCCCATTCTAAGTTCAGCGTGTGGATTTGCATGCTCTATATATATGTGAATAGAATGCCTTGTGATCAACAAGCGCCGAGACCTGTGCATGAATCAATGTCGCAGAAAAGCGTATATAATTAAGTTATACACCCAACCCCATTACATCCGCATGAAGTTGAAAACTAAATATTATAGTCAGTGCAAGTCTACGCCTGCCTGTATCGATGTTCTATCAGTGTATGTATATATGTATGCGCGCGTGTGCGTGTATATATGAAAACACACCTGTTGGTCCACAGTAGGGTTCCAGTCTGAGTCGTAGAAGATGACAGTATCTGCCGCTGTCAGATTGATACCCAGCCCACCCGCGCGCGTACTCAGCAGGAAACAGAACGTGTCCGTATTCGTCTGGAAGTCAGCCACCATATCTCTGTGTGCATTTAAGTTTGTAGGTCATTGTGTGTTTGAGTGCTCGAATATTGCGGTAGATTTAGGTGCTGGGGGTATTGCGCGACGCGAGTATACTGTGTGCATGCATATAACTGTGTACGTTTTCATGGATATGCATGTGTGCGTATATGTGTTCCTACCAAAGCATGCATGTAGGAATCCATATCGTGAGTGCATGGACATGGGTGTATAAACCTTCAGTCAGTAAAGATGGTATCTTTAATTGCATAAAGGTCAATCGTGTGACACATGTGATTGATAAAGACTTTAACTGTCATTGACTATTTGGAATGCTTGTAATCGGGGCCAAAACATAACTGTCAGATAACAAAATATATGACAGCCAATTTCTACCTGGCGTATATCAGAAGAATGAGGACTTATCTGAAATCCCGCCCAGTTGTGATATATACGCACATCTATGTATGTACGCGTGAACATAATATTGTCGACAAATGGATACACATATTTGTGTATACTTATTCATCTACATATGCATCAATATAAACCCACACGCATAAAGCATGTCCTCACATGTCTCACCTTCTGTCCTCCACCTTGCTGCTTCCGTCCAGTCGCATATACTTGATGCGCTTGAGCTGCATGTACTCTTCGAGAATGTCGATCATTTTGGTCATCTGTGAGTAGATCAATACTCGGTGGTCATTGGCTCTTAACTCCACAAGCAACCTATCCAGGGCCTTCATTTTGTCACTCTCCAGGATGATAGCCGACTAGTGCATGTATGAGAGAATCGAGCAAATTAGATATATTGGCTTCTGAAAGTATGTATATATACAAAGACCGGTCAGCTTACGGATGCAGAATCAAGTTACATGAATATATGACGATTATGTTCGTTAGTTCGCAGCCCCTTCGAACCAAATAATCGGGTAGAATACTGTCAACTTTGAGGATTCTCAACGACAAAAATAGGAGAGTATTCAAACTTTAAACATGTATCGTAGCATGTCAGTGTTGTTACATACGTCCCTATATATATATATATACACACACACACATATATATATATATATACATATAATAACTATATAAATATAAATATAAATATATATACATATATACAGATATACATATATATATATATATATATATGGGATAAATTGAAATAAAAAAGTATTGTATCCTATTATTCCACCGGTCGACAGCTCCTACTGCAACGCAATTTTCTCTTGTCGCTCTCAAGAAAAGTTAAATAAGACAAATTGAGCACAAAAAGTGCCTTATAATGCACTATGGAATTCTGGAATAGTCGGGTATTTACACGGGTTCCATCACTACTAATACGCACATGGTCGTATGTATGCTATGTATGCTCCCACACTCCCACATACACACATCGTTCCTGCTGTGCATTTGCATGATACTCTGACGCATATACGTTTGTACATAAACTTGCACCCCTCCTCACGAGTGGCACATACCTTATCTGGTGCGAGCACATAATCCCAACCACAGCTCGGCCGGCTGACACCCAGCAGTCCATTCGCCGCAATCTCCACCTCACATGACGCAGCAACGGGTGCATATGTATACGGGTCATCCAGGGACAAACTCTGGGTAGCCTCGCTCGTGTATGTGTGGTAAGTAGGGGGTAGTCCGGGCGTGTGTGTGTGCGCGTGGGGGGGGGTGTACGTATGTGTGCGTGCGTGGTGTGCCGGTTGTGCGAGGGAGTGTAGAGACACCCCTGTGTTGCCGTACAGCACCTGGGCCTGCCATGGAGTGCTGGGCGAGCATTGGCGCTGAAGCATATTGCGGTACCGCTGTGAATTGACATCTGTCGTTACGGCGGGAGGCACAGGTAGAGAGAGAGTGTGTGTGAGTGTGAGAGAAAGCGAGAGAGCGAGTGTGTGTGTGCATTTGTGGAGGGTAGAGGGGGGGGGGGAGTAGAGCCCGTCAGCGGCGTGATGAGATGGTTAAGTTATTTTACGTCTGTTTCGCGTTTCTTCTCCATTTTGGTTACTTCCTTAATTTATGACGAAATTTGTATCTTGCATCAACAATTGTCTAACCATTAAACACCAGGATACTAGAATTGCGCGCCTCGAGATTGGTTTATCGCTATATTCAGGCTCTTATTATGCCGCTCCCGTTTCCACTTACAGAATGATTTTCTTAGGAAAAACACCGGGACATAGCGGGGCAACAGCCGACTTAGGCAGTATGCGCTTCGCAATATAGAATCCTATGAACGTTTTACGTAATTTCACTATGAACTCATGGAAATTGTATCAACTTCTCGCGTATTAGACCACTAATGCCTGCACCTTTACCATTACAATCCTGTATGAATTCATTGTATTGATATCTCACGTATAGTTTGTATTGGTATCTCACAATAGTTATGTGATATAGCGCGGCGGCGATCAAATGAGAAAGCGGTGTGACCACACAATACTACAAATATGTCGACCTTCCTTCACTACCATCTCACAAATACGTGTTGTATCACTTTCGCCCATAATCTCACTAAAATCTTCACTAAAGTACACTGTACTCCCACACCTTCCACTGCATCATTTTCTCACATAACATACCGGGATATAAAGGGGCGGCAATCGATTGCGGGAGAATGCGGTTGAATTGTGCGTACGGCCACGAACGGCGCTCTATTGCGCGCGATGAGACCTTTGACAAATCAAACCCTGACCCAACCTGCAACTCACCCAAAGCTATATCTGAATAAGCAGCAGAGGGACAACAACAGTGATGAAGAGAATAAGAACAAATGTCTGTATCTGCCTGTATCCACTCTACATACTGTATTGATACATGAATGGATGTCTATATCTTCTAATCATACTGGAATCAGTGCTGATATAAAAAATATGTATAAATCCTAACATTACTCACCTCGACTTACGGGCGCACCGCTCTTCAGCCACATGAGTGTCTCCTGCGGAGTGTACACTCTCCAGCCACACGCTCGCCCTGACAACCGTGTTTGAGCGTCTGAGTCGCCGAAGGTGACAACGGGCTGGCCACGTGCACGAGTGTCCTGAATTGAGAACAGGGCCTTTTGCACCAGTCCCCCTTGCAGATCATGGGACAGCTCAGCGGCCGACAGGCCAGTAAGACACCGCAGTGCAGCAAGAGGCGCAGAGGTGTTGATGTTCCGCGGTGTGCGCACGTCGAAGTGCTTGAGAATGAACGTTTCTTTCTCGGAGACACCTGCAATATATCGCATACATGTGTGTTAGGCTGTGGTGTATTGTATAAATGTGCAATGCATGTCATATATATATGTATGTGCTAGTATAAATGGCGTAGCAATTAATGATGATTGCCCCATCTACAGATGAAATAATTCGTTTACAATCCATAGACAACCTGCCATTCCAATGGGTAACTGTAGCATATACATCAAAAGTAATGAGCAGCAAGGGTCGTCACTTCACCATCATGAAGGAAGGCAGGTAAAAACAAATGTCCGCCATCGTACTGGTCACCACTATTGCCAAATAACCAGGAGCGACCATCACTGTATCGATACCACAATAAGAATCTTTGGATTGATTCGCTGCTATGCCGCTCGTAATAATAGACGATTGAACAGAAACAATCAACACCGCCCTGATCAAAGCCCCAGAAAGACTCAAGTAACTTCTCAACCAACACCCACAAAGAAAGAACCATTTGCGCACATACCGGTTGTTGCTATGGAAACGGGATCCTCAAAAAGTAACCTTGGCAACGCAAAGTCGATGGGATTGTTGTTGTCAGAGGTCTCACTGTCGAGCTCAAAGTGGCGTCTACCCACTGTTGTCTTGGTTTCGTCGTGTGTGTACGGTAAGTTGGGCACTCGCCGGAACCGGTATGAACTCTCCATATTCCGCCTCTCAAACAGATTTGGATGATTGCAGACCTGTAATCGTTTGAAAAGTGTATGATGATGTACGTACATAAGATGTTTGAGAGAGGGTGAGTGAGTGTAAGTGCGTGTGAACTGTATGTGTGTACAATAAGTTAAGTAATGGCAGAAACCAATACTAAAGCTCCACGTTCCGCCGTTCAAAAAGTTTGGGAATACTGCAGACTAAAATCTTTGAGAAGAGTATAATATTGTACTTATATCAAACACATGAGAACATGAGTCTGTATGACTGCACATGTGAACATATATAAGTGTGCGGTAGAATAGATGCACTTGGAAAACTTCAATACACACACACCTTACAAAATTGCACGGAACAGGTTTATGAAGTTCTTGAGCAAGACAAGCAGAGAAAACTGTGCATTCATGAGATGCGTAAATTAGCATACACATCAGCACCGTGTATATATATATATATATATATATATATATATATATATATATATATATAATATACATATATATATATATATACATATATACTATATATACTACAA